GATCATGTTTCAGATAAAATGTCTCAGTATAATAGTGACTTAGCAGTAATGTTGATCAATAACTTGCTAGATAATTCAAAATTTATGACTTGATCGACCAATTTATCAATTATCGTTAACACTGTTTAGTGTACAAGTTTGCAGAAGATTATCGATCAATTGATCGATAATTTAATGTTTGATCAACTGACAGAAAAAGATACATAATTCTGGTAAGCATTCATCAATCACCTGATTGATCAATGAGTTATCGATGAGAACACAGATAAATGGTAAAGTCTTCGTACCTACTTTATATTCTGTTTAATTTTTCTTTTATCGAACACTCTGTCGATCAATCTTTAATCAATAACTTGTTCTGACATTGCTTGTTAACTTACTAGTTTATCGTTAATATGTCTTGTTTAAGTTTCTTGTCAAGATCCTTAATCGATCAATTGATCGATCAGTCCTTTATCAATCAAATATTCGATCATCATCACCTTCACAGCACTTGTTTGATTTTAAGTCATTTTTCGGATCACCTGATCAATCATTGGTTTATCAATTAAATGATCAACCATCCAATTTCCTGAAACTTCTATTTTCACATAACGTGATCGATCAAGTTATTTCCTGGCATTTATGAAATAAGCTTTCAACGGTAATTTATCAATCATTCAATCGATTAAGCTTTAATCGCTCGATATCATATATTGTGTGACTTCACTGTGAAAATCCTTTTTAAACCTTTTATCGATCAGATCTCCTATCATCCATTTATCGATAAAGTATTCAATTTATATTTTGTGAAAATCTATTTCTCTCATACTCAGCTTTATCGATAATGTGATCGATCAAAAAGTTTTTGATCACTTGTTTGATCATTGAACCAGTTCATTTCATAACAACTATTCATGGTTATCTTCAAAAAAATTTGAATCTTTATTTTCAAGCTTTTCTTAGCCTTCCTGTTAGTTTTAATTTTCTATTGAAAAGATTCAAAGGCATAGATGAATTTAAAGTCTTATTCTTGCATAATCTTTTCAAAAGTCACTGTATTCATTTCTTATCTTTTATCGATCACTTATTCGATCATCTATTAATTCATAAGCTTATCGATATACATATATATGTGACTCAAGTTTTTCTCTATAATTAATCGATAACTTGATCGATCAACCAGTCATCGATCAAGACATCGATCAGGTAAGTTCAGATTATATTTGAAGGAATTGACGATTGATTCTGTGCTTTCCTAAACTGTTATATGAATATTAATGATCATCACTTACTCAGTTACCTTTACAAATTTCCTTCTGAAAGAGGACTTACTTGTTTCTAAGTTTGTTACAAATTACGAAGCAAGCTCAACAGTTATTTAGTAGTCTTTAACCTACCATATCAGAAGCATTAATGGTGAACTGCCATTATAATTTCCAAACACACGCACCCGATCTTCCAACGGCTAGAAGCTCTTCAGTCCAATGGTTAAGTAATCTTCTCCAACTATAAAAGGCACGAAGGGCATTGAATAAAGTATTGAATACGCGAGCTACCGTCTGTTGAAATATTTATTGTTGTATTCAATACTCTGTTTTCACTGAGCTTAAGTGTTTAATATTCTTTCACTTTGTAAGAAAGTTTGATACACCTTTTTACTCATTTTCTGAGAGTAACTCAAGAGTGTAGACTCTTGGGGGAATTGTAATCTTACGGGTAGTAAGGTAGTAAGGGGGAGTGATTGAGAAAGTCAATTGCTGTACTGAGGCGTCAAGAGCCCGTTTAATCTTGGGATCATAGTGAAAATCTCAGAGGTGTTCTGAGGATTGAACGTAAGTCAAGTGGTTAAGACCAAACCAGTATAAATCCTGTGTCTTCGCTCTGCGGTGAAATCCTTCTAACTCATCTTCTCTGTCTTATTTACCTCACTGTTTCATTTCGTTAAATTTTTATAACTCACCCAATTCACTCCCCTCTTGGATGAAGCTGCCACTAACACTTGCATGTCTATTGCTCAAAAAAAAAAAAAAGAGTTTTGCATGTTTGTCGTAAAAGAATATATGTGACCTAAGTAATTTTGGTAGATACCTAAACATATTCACAATCTTAAACCTTTCGCGTTTGAGGCTGTTCTGAACAAAAGGAAAGATTTCTTAATAATATGACACTCTTTCCCTACTGCGTATGATTTTACGTTGTCTTTTTTCCCATGATGCCCGTAAGGTCCCCATATATATGATGCAATCTCCATGGCTGTTAAGATTTTTTCATATCTTCAAAACCTCATCATATATATTGGGACGAAGGATTTGCAATTTAAGTTCATGCATGTTTGGTTTTAAGTAGCCTCCTCTATTGGAAGAGTGAAACATATACTTATGTGGTTTATTATTATAGAATCATTAAAAATTAACTAACTCATTTAACTAGTATCAATATTTATCAAAACTTAATCGTAAACTATAATTCTAAAAACTTTATATAATAAATCTCTTAAAACTTAATCCCCTCTGTCTTGGGTCTTAAGTTAAAGAAATAGTACGTGGGTTTTTTTATTTTAAATGTATGAACTCAATTTACTTTATTTCCCAAATTTATAATTTGTTTCCAAAACTCTCCTTATTAATTATACATACTATAATAGATTTTCTTTAAGGGAGTACTTAGCCAATGATTAAAATAAATACTTTAAGAAAACCAATATATACATTTTTTTCATAAACGATTGATTTATTTTTTGGCTCTCTAAAAGAAGCATTATTAGAAGAGAACGAATATTCTGGTCCCCAAAAAATATTTTGGTCATATTTTATTTTTTGCATTGTCACTTTCATCAAAGACTAATACAACCTCTTATTCTTAATATAAAAGCTAGTTAGGTATTTGATTTGATTGTAAATATAAGACATTAATCTATTTTGCTTCTAATATTTATCTATTTTATCCCTAAATAATCCCTATTATGACTGTATACATTAATGATTTTTTTTATCAAAAAATAGTTCCAATACACATAATTAATAGGGCTGTTTTAAGGAAGACAACGTCCATTTATTATAAATAAATAATTTAATTTAATATTTACAAATCAATTATCTAGTTCTTATACCAAGGATAAAAGGTTTTTTTTTTTTAATCACATTTGCCTTTCCTTCAATATTAATCCGGGCTTTATGTATATCCAGGACACACTTAGGCAAATATAACAAGTCCATCGCTTGAATTCTTATCATTTGATCAAACAGTGGCTTCTCTTATTCTCTCCAAATCACTCTGTCTTTTCTTCTTCTTCTTCTTCTTATCTTTTTCCATGTGTTACGATCTCAAAACAAATAACAATGAACACAGTAAGTTTGCACTGAAATCTGAATATTATTTGTGTGTGTATATGATGAAAGCAATAGGAAATATCTAGAAATACATAAACATCCAGTCACAGAAATAACAGAAAGAAAGAAAGAAAGAAAATCACCAAAAAGATAGCAGAGAATCAGAGGGAAGGAGAAATACACAGAGAGAGAGAGTGAGAGAGTCTCAGAAGAGAATCATCACATAATCCACACCGAAAATGTTGGTTTTCATGACCTTTTATTTTGCGCCTCTCACGTTCTACATATGTGCTCCAATGTGATTCTTTTAGCTTGTGTCTACAGAATAATCCAAGCCCAATAATATTTGCCATATCTGGGAGAGCAGGCCCATTTCCATTTTCATCCCATGTCATGACACCATGATATGTCTCTCCTATGGTATTCCGAACGAGTAGTCCATTCTGAATTACGACAATGATCTCGACAAGCTCACCACAGAGGAAGAGATCTTTCAGCTATTCCAAGTGTGGCAGAAGCAACACGAACGAGAATATCAAACCCGAGATGAACTGTCAGAGAGATTTGAGATTTTCAAAGACAATGTGAAGTATATCAAAGAGAAACATGCGAAAAGAACATCAGTCTATGACTATCATCTTGGTTTGAACAAGTTCTCGGATTCGACGAAATGAGGAGTTCAAAGAAACCTACTTACTTCTCTGATCCTATTTATAAACTAGAAAGAGAATATATTTTTTAGTTCTATTATAGGGTATTGAGAGAATTTTTTTGTATTGTATAATTTTATCTTGTATTTATTATCGTGTTGATTTTGTTTACATGAAGTATAATATATATTAAATAGAGATAAAGTTGAAAATTTATTAAATTTTAAATAAGAGTTGATAATGTTTAAGATTTTTCTTAGTATGTATGAAACATGTTGGAAGTGACTTATAAACAGGATCAGAAAAGTACTAGACAAGGGTCCCATATTTGGAGGCAACTTGATGAGGCCGACGAACAATTATTACTGTCCACATGCACCTAATTCCTTGGATTGGAGGGACTTCGGAGCTGTAACTGATGTTAAAGACCAAGACAATTGTGGTGAGCACGAATAATTCTTGCTTTTACATCTTAGCCTCCATATATTTTAAAAAAAAAAAAAAAGAAGGTAAAAGTATACCTCATATAGTCTTTATTTTATAAAGCTTCACTTTGGTCCTTTAATATCTTTTAAGCCCTCTGACGCTAATGGTCTTAATAAAAAAATGTCGATATTGTCAATAAAGTATTTTAACTACGGATATACTAAGTTTATTTTCAAATGCTTCCTAAAAAATCTTTATTTGAAACTAACAGTATTGGGGTTAAAAGAATAATAGAATCAAGAGACTAAACTGAGATCTTGTATAAATTAGAGGATCAGATATATTTTTGCCTAAAAAATAAGTGTTATTCAAATTTAACTAAAAATAATTCTTTTATGAATAAGTCGGGAGATAATATTTATAGATTTAGACTTAGCTTGGTTGAGTGACTATTATATTCTATTATGTTTTTTTTTTTTTTATGAATTTGTGTCCATAGATAGTTGTTGGGCATTCTCAAAAACGGGAGCCATTGAAGGGATTAATAAAATAGACAACGATGCACTTGTGAGTGTTTCTGAGGAACAACCTACGTCGTGCAATCCTTATAGCAATGGCTGCCACAAAGGAAGCTATGTCCACGACGCATTTGAATATGCCATCAACAATGGTGGAATTGCCTCATAGGCTGATTATCCTTATACAGCTAAGAATGATACCTGCGATCACCAAAAGGTCTGTCTGTAATTGTTCTGTACTTCTTCTTCTCCTTCTCAATCTTCTTCTTGCCCCGATGATGATTTTGGTTTTTTTTTTTTTTTTGGAAACAGGGGAAGAAAAACGATAGCTCTTACAGTTGATGAGTATCAAAATGTGACATCCACCAAATCAGAAAATCCTCTATTTTGTGCTGTTGCTAGACAGCCTGTTAGTGTTCATACTTATGCTGGTAGCAAAGACTTTCAACGTTACCACCATGTAAGTCTTGTGTGTATGCACACACACACACGTGTGTGTGTGTGTGTGTATTTATATGGATGAGCAGAGACTAATTTCTTGAAATCCTAATTAATTAATTAATACAAAACGGGAAAGTAATTAATTAAATGTTTGTAATTATTAATTAAAGCTAATTGTTTTGTATAAAATAGATAATTACTCCATTCGTTCCTAATTTCTTTGCATAAACAGGGACTGTTCAATGGTAGTGGCTGCTCTGAGGTTGCACCTTATTACATTAATCATGTTATGCTGATTGTTGGATATGATTCATTTGGTCCCGGTCTTGATTATCGGATTGTGAAGAACTCATGGGGAAAAACCTGGGGAGAACAAGGTTACATCAAAATCAAAAGAAATATTGGTCATCACTTAGGTGTATGCAACATCAATTGCTGGGGTTATTACCCAACCAAGAAGAACGTGAAGCTTGATTCTGCTACATGAATTGAAGCAGCTCCAAGTAGTTCTACAATAATGAAGCCATCTGCCTTATGTTTGCGTCTATTCATGTGCGTCTTTGTTTTGTGTGTTTGGGCATAAATAAATGGCATACCATCTCTATAAAAGCCCTATTTGTAGTGTAACTCTCCTGTTCTTGAAAACTATTGTGGGGTTTCTGCTATATGAAGCAGCTCGATCAAATAGTGTGTATACGTGTCTGGCATAAAATGAATAAAACCTCTTCTTGTGTTCTATGTATCGTTTTTAGTGAGAAGCTATATGTCTTTTTTTCCCAATTATTTGGTGTATTTATTTGAGATTTGTTTTGGTTTACATCATTGTTAGTTTTTATAGTTTGATTGAATTTTTTTTATTTCTATGGTTTCAAATTATTGGTTTTGATTCCTATTAATAAATGATCTATGTGGTTTTAATAAGTTTTCGTTTTAGTTTCTATACTTAAGCTCAAACCAAATTCTTATGAAATTATAAGGGACAAAATCATTGAAAATATAGGAAACAAAATTAAAATTGGATCAAATCATAAAGATTAACCATAATATTAACCCTTTCTCTCCTTTTCTTTTCCAATTTCAAAGAGCTTGTTTGGATCAGCGATGTATAATTGCTTATAAGCAATTTTATGTAAGTTAAGACCAAATTTTTATCACAAACTTACTCATATTTTATGAAGTATGATTGAAAAACTATTTATAAGTTATTCTAAACTAGTCATAAACATTTGAAGAGGGTAAAGTAATTTCAGAACTGGCATCCGAAGTCCCTGGCCGTTATTCCAGTGCGTGCGCCGTCCTCGACCTCGCTGGCCGTGATGATTATAAAGAACCTCTTCTAAAAACTACACTACTAAAGCAAACTTTAACTGATGTTAGTGGAGCAGTTTGCTCCATATGTATAACCTTCTAAGGACAAGATAATTCCATATCTACATCAGAAGAGACGTAACATAAACCGATGGGCCACTTACCCAATCTCACTGCTGCTGGATTGTACTATAAAAAGTACAAAATACTTATCTGATCTTTAATATAAGATTTATTTAACTAATTAAATTAAATTAAAGAGGTTAGGTAAGTTAGTTAATTATAAGAAATATGACATATTTTTTCTAAAATACCATAATCATCTTTTTTAATACATCATTGCCTTCTTCTGCTTGATTATGATTGAGAGAGTATCTGTCGGAGTAATTTAGAGAAAATTAATAAATATGAGAAATAAATGTTATATTTAGAACAAAAACTAACTTAACAATTAGATCCTATATTAAGGACCGAAAGAGTATTCTAGAATAATAATAATGCCGGGAATATTTTATACATACACACAAATATCAGAGTACATTTAATGTCAGGGTGCTACTAAGATAAAATTTCTAAGTCGAACTTTTTGGATAGCGGTACTTATTCATAAGCATGTATTTCTTATTTTTAAGTTCTTATGACATTTAAGCAAGAAGTTGTCATTAATTCTCCATCCATCAATTAGTAATATAAAATCTCCAAACAGATTCCCCCCCCCCCAATTGTAGTGATCATTCACGAGCGTATGCTTATCATTCACGACTATATGCTTGTTTATTTTTATTAAAATTAATTAGTTGTAAATCTTATATAATAGTATTCTTCTTTACCAAATCATTAGTGGCCCACTGATTATAATCTTATTTTGCGATCAGTACATTTAACACCCTAAATTACAAACAAAATTAGAGTGTTGAATATAATTGAAAAATAACATGAAGATATTAGGTATACAAAAATAATATTCCTCCGGTCTATAAAATTTCTTTTATAGTGTAATTTACGCTATAAAAGATATTTTATATTTAGAATCGAAAGAGTAATATAATATTACATATATCATAAACAAAATTAGGGTTGAGTAGGGGTATACATGAAGCCCAAATACCCACTAAGCTCGCTTGAGCCCGAAGAAAAATTGTCCAACCCAACTTGAAAAAAAAGTCTGAAAAAGAATGGACATTTTTGGGCTGGGCATTTCATAAGCAGGGCTGGGCATCGGGCAGGACATGCTGCCATGCCCATTTGGCCTTGCCCGGATTATATATATTATAATTTATGAACTAATATTAATATATTACATTTCTTTATCCCAAAAAAAAAAAAAGTTATCTCCCTCTTTTTTGCAATTTAATTTATTATTTTTATATGTCTATTAGTTTTCCATTTTAGGGGATCTAACTCTTCTAAAGAAGCAATAGTATCTTGCTTTTAACTTGTTCTTTGTGAGCTTTATTGGGTATATCCTATTATGTGTTGCTATTGTAATGTTAGCTATTTATAAGTTAGTCTTCTCCTCTATGCCATTAACAACTTTCTTTGTTAGAGAATGGAGGTCATACATTACATATTTGTATAAATCAATAATTTTGAATATTTATACAAGATAGAAAACAAGATTGGGGTAGGAGTAAGGAAAGAAAATTGGGGTCTAATTATCTGAATTACATGTTTTATTTTTTATTTAATTTATATTTAGTTATTTTGTATTAATTCTTTATGAACAAGTCATATGGTGGAAAAAAGTCTTTTAGTTGTGTGGACTGCTAACTGCATTGTATCATATAATAAGTCTTTGCATATTAAAAGTGGTTATATTAAATTATTATAAGATTATAAGATTTTTTTTCATTTTTTCCAATTTTTATATGGTCTATATTATTCCTGTTAGCCTATTGCTTCAGTTTTAATATCTTTTTACAATCCTTTAGGTAACATTTAATTTTTTTCCACTTAAATGAATAATCAAGCTTCTAGTACATCGCCATCCCCGACTCTCAATAGAATATCTCAATGTGCTTCAACCCTTCTTCAAATTTTTTAGACTTTTTATTCTTTTCTCAACTTTGTGGAAATTGATGCAAACTGTTTGAATTTTAAGGCTTTAATTACAATCTTGAGAGTTGTTTTGTTCTAAATAAATTATGAATTTTATTTATTTGGATATTTACTAAGACTTGTTTTGCATTATTTCTAGACAATTTCAATATGTGAAAATGTAAAATTATGAAATGTAATTTTCAGGTATGAACGAAAGTTTTTTTTACTTGTGATATTGACAGGTCATCACCATTTGGGCAGCAAAGCCCACCCTGCCCAGCCTGCCCTGTCCAGTCCAAAATAGTTAGGGCTGCAAAATGCAACCTGCTCATACCTCAAGCTGGGTATTAGACAGGTGTCCTGTCCTGTCCTGTCCAGCCCTGCCCACGTGTACCCCTAGGATTGAGTGGGTGCTAGTTTACCTTTATTTAGAGGGTGTTTGGTAACCCTCAAAAGTATTTTTAAAAAGTACTTTTTCACAAAACAAGATAAACTCCTTCACATATTTATTTTGTAAATCATAAAAACACTTTTAAAATTATGATTTGATTTTTATCTTCAAGTGTCTCCTTATTTGGGCAGGGGCCTTTTTGCGGTGAGAGTTTTTGTTTACAATTTTTTGATGTTTTTGTTTACAAAATTAGACGACTTCATTCAGGAATCATAGTTCCTCTTCTACCCTTCTCGCTTCCCTCCTTAATATCGCTGCGGAACCGTTTAGTTCTGCTCGTTGCTCGCCTCCCTACTCTCTCGTCGCCGCGCCACCCCCAGCTCGGGGTTCGCCTCTCTGCTCTCTCATTTTGTTCTGCACGTTGCTCGTTTCTCTACTGTCTCCGCCTCCTCCTGCAGGCGTTGTCGCTGCGGGTCTTCTCAGTCCAGGTTCCGCCGTCGTTCCACCCTTTCTCTGTTGTCGTTATTTCTTTTTTTCATTTTCGAATTAAGCTTAAAAAAATATACTGAAATTTCTTCATTCTTTCTTTCCGTGAGTTAGTTTGCAATAGTTTCATAGTTAATCATGAACTTTCAACATTTGAATCGGGGTATATCCCTGTGATGCTCATCCCTTGTGTAAACTGGGTGAGCGCGTCCTCTCTCAGTTAGTGGGTCTATATAACAGCCCAGATTGCTTTGAATTTGGTTTTCCTGAAGCTCAGTTTATTGAAATTTTCAAGTTTCTTCATTGTTCCGGAGGGACTTGGTTAGTGTTCTTCTTTTTGAAGATGTAGTGGGATTATTTCATCGACTACCTAAATCCTTTTTACTTATTGAGATACAATATAAACGTTATTTTTTAAACTTTTGATTCTAATCGAATCTGGTTTACTTGATATATGAAAGTTTGGGGAATACAAAGCACTTTGAGGACCTGAGTTCTTTTTTCATAGGCTCGAGAGAATTACATTACCAGTGTGTCTGTGTAAATCTTTGCCTAGCCTGTCTCACACTGTGTTCATATGCTAGGTCATGCCTGCTTTTGTTCTTACAATTGCACTGTTTGATGAGCATGTTTTTCTTAAGATTAAGAAATGAGCTGAAGAATGTTGTGCTCTTACAATATGTCGTATCTTCTTTTCTGATTTGATATATGTTTTTTATTTGGTTTTATTAGATGAGATTGGTGACGCATAGATTTTCATTGGTTCACCACGAAGCATTTCCCTCCTCATTCTGCGTAGCATTCTCTTTCTCCTCCTTTATACACCCCACCACTCTCCCTAAACAGGTACTTTGAATGATTTTCTTTCCTTCTCTTTCAATTCACTCCATATCTGTGATGAATTTCATTCTTGATCCTGTTCCTTTTTTCCTTTTCTTAGGCAAGCATTGAAAACTAGCTTCTTTTTCTACGGACTGTGGACTGGGAAACCAAAACATGTCTAAAAGAAGAAAAAACAAAGATGCTAAAATATAGGCCTTTTACTATCCCAAAATTTTACTTCCCAGAGGTTGAAATTTAAGTTTGTGCTTATGGAGCTTACCGAAATTGAGCTCCAGGTGTCATTTCCCCCATATTTAGTGATTTTTGCGTGATATCTTTGCAAATATATCTGCGTGTATTAGGGGTTCTTGCTGGAGTGGGAACGTGGAATATTTATCCTTCACTACATGAAACAGGGGCTAAGTCACTCTCTTACCAAGCTACTATCCCTAGTTTGGTATCAGTAGCCATTTTTGGGATACCGCTTTAGTTTTGTTTTTCATTCCAAAACCTTTAACGCCTTTATAGTGCGTTTTATTTATGTTTTCCCCTAAAAGGATTGAATCAACATTGTAGGTTCTGAAGGATAACAATCTTGATGTAAATGAATGAACACTTGCAGATGCACAAGGAATTGCGGGAACTTATCATTCTTGTAAGGCCTGGAAAAGTTTATTTTTTGTAGAGTTATATTTATTTTATTTCTTGTTATTTTCAGTTGAATATACGAATGCAGGTTTTTTTTTTTTTAATGGTTGAAATGAGTTTTGGCGTGACTGTACTGTTCTCTATGATATCAAACATCTAGCTAGAGACAAAGCCTAATAGTATATTCATTAGTCTGATGGAATATTCATTTCAGGGTTCCTTCAGACATTAAGTAAGTTTTTGGTTTAGTAATTGAGTATATTAAGTAGGTTTTCGGTTTAGCAATTGAGTATATAAGTGCAATTTACAAGAATTCCAATCAATTAATACACTCTTCATAATCCAAGTGATGATTTGAGGAAACATTATTGGCCTTCTGTTTCTTATTAGTTGTGATGTTTATATCGTGGTTATATATATGAAGCATATCTGGTATTTGAGTGATATCATTGCGGCAGGAGCTTCTAGACAAGGGAAAAGAATTTTTCTTCCCTACTCTCCATATTACTTTGTTTGGAATAAAGTTCTTTTTACTGCTGATTTAAAACTCTTTTCATGTTATCTCCATATTACACTCTTTTTAATGTTATTTCCATTTTCGAAATATTTATGTAGCTTATCTGGTGTTACTCTTCCTTGGCAGTATGGAACTTGTCTCTTCCTTCTCTGTTCTTCGTCTTCCACAATATAAACACAAAAATAGTTGTTATATTATCGTACCTTCTGTGTGTCTGGGTAAAAGGAGAAACTACAGTACTGAAATTTCATTAGTGGATTGTGGAGAATTTACTACGAACTCCTGTATTTCCGATAATCCCTCAAGAGGTTCAAGCTCAGCTGATGATTTGTTGAGATATAAATCTGAAACATATCCGTTTCTTCAAGCAAGCCGTTTTCAGCACTGGTTCAAAAACTGGCAAAAGCTTAGAAAGAACAAACTGACAGCTAGCACTTTTCCTGCTGCTATTGGATTTTGGCCACGACGAAGGGTCCAACTTTGGTTAGAGAAGCTAGGTGCAATTGAACCATTCTCTGGAAACCTTGCTACCTGTTGGAGCAATATTAAAGAGGAGGAGGCACTTGAACGATATAAACTGATAACTGGAAATACTGTCGTATTTCCTGAATTTCAAGTCTATAATGCAAACCCAGATGATGACTGGCTAGCTGCTTCACCAGATGGTGTAGTTGACAGGATGCTGTATGAGTTGCCTTCTCATGGGGTGCTGGAGATAAAGTGCCCATTTTTTGATGGGGATATGAGTAAAGCTTCCCCTTGGTCACAAATTCCACTGTATTATGTTCCCCAAGCTCAGGGTTTGATGGAAATTCTAGGGAAGGATTGGATGGACTTTTATGTTTGGACTCCAAAGGGAAGTAGTCTGTTTAGGCTATATCATGATGCGGAGTATTGGGAGGTAATGAAAATGGCACTATCTGATTTCTGGTGGAAGCATGTACAGCCGGCAAAAGAACTGTATGATAATAACGTTATAGCAAATCCACTTTCTGAACTAAGTTCACTGAAACCAGCTCCTAGGCATGAATTATGTGGTTATTTAGTTTATGAAAGCAAACGCATTGCTGATAATTCCAAGCTATTGATGCGGGAAATTCATGGGAAACTGATCAGTTGATGTCTTTTGCTTTTGGAGAGAAATAATGATTGAAGAAAATAACCCTGCTAGAGAGTGGTGATGCTTGATGATAGGGCCATCTTTGACCGGAGACACTAATTGACAGCTCCAACGTCAGATAAGACCAAGAGGGGTTCAGCTATTGAACTTTTTTCTACCATGCATGCTCTCTCCTTGCATTCATCAGTGCAAAGGATCTGCAGGCCAACGGCTTTTAAGAACAACAGAATTATCACATACTTGAAGGGAGTTTATCTCTGTAGTAAGTTTTACATGTTTCATACTTAAAAGTGCTGCCTTCTGATGCAGTTGTCATTCCCATTTCTCGTGTGTTTTAGTTCTTGTTCTTGAGTTTTATTGCATTTCAAATGCGTTTGTATAATTTTTGCACTTTTCGCTCCATCTTAAAACAGTTTCAAATGGCTTTTGGGGTTTTGAGGTGTTTGAAACTGGTAAACTAAGGAAACATACTAGCCAATGTGTATACCCATTTTGGCATTTCTTGTAATGCTTTGGCAAAACAAATATTGGAAAAATTAACTACACAAAGCAAGTGTATTGGTCCTTATGGATACAACTACAGAAAGCAAGTATTGCTGCTTTCTAGGCATCCTTTTTTCTTTTCATGATAAGCGATTATAAAGTTATTAAATTTATTTCCATTTTTACTGTTTGTGCAGTTTCTTATCTATTTACCTATTGTTATGTAATACTGCCAGAAGTTCTTAAATGAAAATTTTAGAGGGCCTCTATTTTGCTTGGAAGAGAGGCTTTAGGAAAGCCAAGGGATAAACCTTACCAGCGAATTCAGTAGTCATCAATTATCTTGATGATACATCAATGTTGTAAGAGTCAATGGGAGATTGAGTTCTCTCATCGACCCAGATAGGGCAATGGCCTTGCTGACATGTTGGTTAAGTTAGGATCCCATCATACTTCTAATGCTGTTATTTGTGAGGTAGCCCCCACTGTATATAAGGACCCTTGTTCTTAATGGTATACTTGGGACTCAGGTCCCCTGTCGGCTGTCATGTATAGTTTCATGCTTGGGATTTAATCGCTCCCATTTACCACGGAAAATAAAAAGAATTTTGAGACGATACGGTATGAGTTTCCAGGCATTGTGAGCTAGTGTTTATATGGATTGATTGCTAGCACGTTCATGAAAACATGGTGGAATTATCTCTCCCTCCAATGATAATTTTGATGCGGATCACCAAAAATCAGTTGTGCTCCCAGTCACAAGAAATAGCAAATCGAAAATGTTGTGCTGTATCAATGTGGCAGTCTGCTTCTGTTTTATCTATAGTGTGCTTACTACTTATCACTATTTAAGCATGGTGATTTGGTAATAATGCAGTAGTTAGCTTTGCTTTTGGAGTATACATTGCTGTATTGTGGTGGGATTGTTATTACTACATCGACCTTCCAATATTCTAAGTTTTTCTTTTTAGTTCTTATTTTCATATGTTTTAGCTGAGCCTTTGTCCGAGCATGCCAGAGTCATAAAAGTAGTGCAAATATTTGGGAGGTGTAATTTTGTAGACATGAGCCATTTGCTGGTTCATTGTTATTTCCTGTTCTGTCCATTGAAAATTGATGTAAATGACAGTACATGATCGTAGCTGTAATTTTCAGGTTCAGCAGTATATGTATTTGATTATTTGTCAATACTTGCGCTGAGTTTCAATTGTTTGGCTTCTGGTGCTAAGACCGCAGATGATGGTTGCAGAACATGTAAAACAAGCTAATGGTCTGGTTATTCGAGTCTTATTTGGTTTTTTGTTTTGAAAGCAGTTTTTTATTTCTAAAAACAAAAAACAAAAAATTGCTTTGCAATTTGGTTTTAGTCAAATGTTTTTAAAAACAAAAAAAACATAGAAATCTGTTTTTAAACTAAAGGAAACCAACACATTTTTTTTTTATATTTCTTGAAAAGATTGAGAACATTTTCTTTTTTACTCAATGGCTATTTCTTCATTTGAGAACTAAGCTTATCATTAAATTTCAAATGTAATTTTTTAGAACAATTATTAAACAGATTTTATTATTTTTTTCTAAAACTTATTTTAAAAACAATTTTATAAAATTGTTTCGGGAACAAAAAAAGAGAAACAAACAAGCTCTTGGTCTTCTTGGTTCTCATATTTTTGTTTCTTTTTCTTCTCCTTTTCTGTTATATTATTTCAGCTTAAATTATAGCACCTCTTACCCTTGTCATGAGATCCAAATATTTAAATTGGTTTGGTTTTTTAACAAGATAAATTTTGAATTGTCTAAATATTAAATGCATTTTTATCACTTTTATCCATAATTAATTACATCATCTTTTTTTATGCTTTTTGTTTCATCTTTTTTCTTTTCTCATTATTTTTCTCTCACTTGTTCTTGAAGTTCGAAACTCTTATTTTTTATCTAGGCTTGGGACTGGCTATACAAGAAAAGATGAGATTTGAAATGAAATTATCAAAGCAAGAGTAGCCGTGGTGCCTAACGAAGAGAAAATGATTCAACATCATTTGAAATGGTTTGGGCATGTACAGAGAGGGTTATTGGAGGTGCCGGTAAAAAGGATAGATCAGATGGTTTGGAATCTTTTAGAAAGGGACAAAGGAAGACTAAGGAGAATATTTAATGAGGTCATTGAATAAGATATTCTGGTTAACAACGTGTTTAAAAAACTTGGTTATTGATAGAACATAAGGGCATCATGTGATCCATGTGATTGATCCCTCCTGGTAGAATAAGGTTTGTTGTTATTATTGTTATATTTTTCTCTCACTTCCCTCTTATAAATAAGAGCCTTTTTTTTTTAGTACTTTTTTTTTCGTATTTATTATTTTTAGTCAACGTTAACAGATTTGTTTTTTTAAGCTGTGCATTGATTATTTGAAACTCATGAAAAAGACAAGATGGAGTAGCATCGACGATTTACAGGCCAACCTTTACAAACCATCTAGAGATCAAAGTAAAGCCCAATTTGTTTAAATTTAATTGAGTTTAGTTGGAGGAGTAATGAGTTCGAGCGGTTTTTGTGGTCTAGCATACATGCTTCTTGTGATCGTTACAAGCTGAGCTGTGGGGAATCTATGACTGTCCTTTGAAAACTCAGAAAATCTGATTGTTTCATTTGCAGAATGGTATAAATTTTATTGTGATGTTTCACAAAAGAAGAAAAAGATTGTATTACAGCGATTGTCGACTCATTTTATTTTAGTACAATTCTTTATCTTTAGTTTGGACGGGGAAAAAACAAAAAGAAAAGAATTCTCAAATAGGGGGGTTTTTTTCCTTCCAAAATATCCTTCTCCCTTTATTTTCCAATCCATCCAAATGAAACCTTAATTTGATCCTTACAGTATACACTTTCATTTTGCTTTTTCATTAAAAAAAAAAAAGCATAATGGTGAGGGAAAGAAAGAGGAGTTAAACTCAATTCTGAAATATCTCAAATGAGAGTAAACGACATCCTCCTCTCGTTATCTTATTTTCTCACTTCAGTTGAATTTTTTTTTTTTTGATACGTACACTTCAGTTGAATTATATTTGAAAAGATTATACTCAAAACTCTCACGCTACAAGTCTTTTTACTAGCACATTTCAAACGGTTGCAAACATACGGCACTAAGTTCCCAAGGCTCCATTTTTGTGTTGTTATCCTTTCTTTTCAATAAAACATATTTTCCCAAAAGCAAAAATTTAAATAAATTTTCCGTTAGCATCAGAACCAAGAACTCTCGAGCAAATAACAGAATATTTTTGTTGGAATATATATTGTGGGATTTATATGAAATAAAGGGAAACTTAAATTCCAAATCAGATTTTATTTTCATATTTTAACAAAATTTTGATAATACTTGACTTGCAAAGAACACCCTTTTTTTTTTTAAAGAATTCCTTATTTAAGATTAATAATTTTAAACTTTTTTTATTGTGGGATTCATCCAAAAACACAACTAGGAGACTGAGACCTTACAAGAAATACTACAGGGCGTAGGACTATAGAGGCCCCATGCCCAATCGATGAGTTATGTGAATACATTACCCAAAAACCATTTGTTGGTACAACATTACCAAAAAGGAATGTTTTTGGTATAACATTACCAAAAAAAGATGGATATGATAAGTCAATATTCTGGACCAAGCCCATTATTGCTGCAAAGGAGGACACTAGAATCCATATGCTATTCATGCCATTTCAACATAACTACATATGCGACTTGATTTGGAACAGTAGCGCCTTACATTGTTTTGCTCTGGGAACAGTTAACAATGGAAGTCGACCAGCAGAATCATCGCAAACACAGATAGACCCACTGGAAAAGACAACCGATGGCAGGGGGACTCTTGCAATGGCATTGACAATCATCCTTGAATTGAGAAGCTGAGATTAAACTAAAGATGGAAGGAAAGAGGAAATGTGGGAGTGACACGGGAAGAATGGGAGGAGGGCACAGGTATGAAGTTTTCAAAATGACTCAAGATCTAAAGTCAATCACCTACATAATCTTTTCCTTTTCTGATGGAAGAGAACATCCTTAATATCATGGGAAAAAAACCCAATAAAATATCCTTTTGATGTCTAAATCAGATCAAAAGTTCTACACCAGAGCCAAATGCCGAAACAGAAACTTCCATGGCTACCAGTGTTAAGGTCAGTGTGTCGTAGGATCTTATCAATCAATATCTAAGTTATACCAAATCTACCCAATTTAAGAACGAATTTAAAGCTTGCCACAAATCATGTGAAAAGAGTCAAGTCAATCTTGGACTCCAGCACATAAAGGGGGAAAAAACCTCTTTATTGTGATTCATGAGGCTGAATTACTCATACACTGTAACACAATGTTTTGGTTGCAAACCTTAAAGTTGAATGTTTTGATTCCCTCTATATCCTTTAACAAGGGGCAGGTTTGAAATGACTTGGAGATAAAACTTGGAGAACAAACCCTTCACAGCTGGTGTTTCCAACTCCATATGCTTAGCTGTTCCCTTTCTCCTTTCTCTTAGGTTGGCTCTAAAGCACCAAGGTCAGGACTTGAAAATGACTCAACCCAATAGGTATGAGTACTATCTTATGTCATAATCACTACCCAATGTGGGACATAATACACATGG